AAAAAATCCGAATTCTGTTATCCGCTAACTGAATTTTTTTGCCTCAACATAACAAGATTTATTTTTGAGTATTCCTTTGACCTGTGCACTAAAAATATTTTTTTCTACCACAATTATCAGAACAGTGATCTCAATAATCTTCATTATGAAAACTGTGCGCGAAAACATTGCTGTGAATGATGCAATTTCTGACAGCAAATTTTTCTGCAAATTATGGTAGAATCGTTAGTGCGTTATGAGGTCTACAATCTGTCGTTTAATGAAGTAAAAGAGTCTACGTTTCGAAGGTGTCGGACTTCCTAATTTCCACTCGTCGTGAAAATCATTCTTAGAAGTAGTCTTTTTATAGTGAACTATTTCTTTCAAAAGTTGGCTTTATTTAAAGCCGTTATTGGTCTGCAAAATGAAAGACCTCATTGTATTACAGGTATCGCACTTCTCGCACATCTTAATTGGTCTATTGTTATCATCGCTCACGAAGTTCAAAACTTAACTGTCAGATGCGTTAGGATATGGAGTGACAATCTGGACAAAAGTTGCTACCGGGTGTACTTCACAACTGCACGGTCTTTGGAGTTTTCATCTTGCAAAACTGGTGACGAAAAAGTGTTTCTGCTTCATTTAGTCCACTTGAGTAGCTTAAACTTACCTTCTTAATTATTATATGCCGTTGAGATCGCGTAGCTTACTGTGGTACGTCACTTTTTTATTCGGCCCTCTCAAAAGTACCGACTATAAGCAAGGTCATCACCAAAATTTGTTATATCATTAGCAAAAGATTTTCTCTGATTTTTGATCATTTTCTTCATAACCGCCTCACTCGCAGTTAAAGTTGGAATATTATCTGATTTGTGACATTGTTTTTAAAACCTCAGAATTTGCAAGGACTTATGTGTGCAAAAAAACCGAGAAAATCCACAGATCAACGAGATTTGTTTCAGGAGTTGAAATTAGTGTCCCATTCCTTAGTCTGCATCTTGGGATCTATTCTCTTTAGTGCTGACTGCAGTCACTTCTGACCAAAGTTCTTCTCTCTTCCCCGCAGAAGTCGCTGAATTCCAAAATGACGAGAGTAGTGGCTACTCCAGTTTGTAAGTATGAAAGCGAAGATTATCTGTGGCGTAAGAGTTCTAAGAGTTTTATAATTTTCGGTGAAAGTCGTCTGAGCAGTTATTAAACCTTTTTATTCTATGACCAATAGTTAACCGTGTTCAGTTTCAGAGTTTTCATTTTAAAGGAAGAAGAGTAGAACAAATGAAATACAGCGGGTTACTGAAACGATCAGCCAAAGGTCAAAAAAGTTAGAGATTTTGGCATTTTTGTCTTAATTTCGGTTCCCACATCATTAGAAGTTTGTTCACATTTCAATTCCTGATTTAACCTGAATGATTCTTCGGGTATGACTGTTGCTCTACATATACCTAGTCAAAAATTTGATTACTTGCGAAGAAGTACTGCACCAATTTAGCTATGCAAGATAAAGAAATCAATGATTTGAAAAATCTACACAGTAAAGAAAGTTAACTGTTGTTATGTTCCTATGGAGTGTTAACACTGTTTTGTTTCCTGCTAATATATATATATATATATATATATATATATATATATATAGTTTATATATATATATATATATATATATATATATATATATATTATATATATATATATATATATATATATATATATATATATAGGTGCTGTGCTTAAGAGTGCGTATTTTTGTTTGTGGTCGTCCCCAAAATCCTTACAACTTTTTGGTTTATCAAACAGCTTTTGGCAGGAAACAAAAGTTACACATATACTCTCTTAATTAAATGAAGTATATGTTTCAGAAATTCTAGAAATATCGCAGTCCCTTTTAAATACATTAACAGAATGGATGAATGAATAAAAGCGACTACTTTAATGCATACAATATGTGTTAATAAGAATGCATACTACAAACACTGAACCATTTAACGCTTTTGCATTAAATTAATCAATGTTGTTATCAGCAGTCCCGAAATCCCAAAACTGAGAATAAATAACTGTTAAGCGTAGATGTATCATTGCAATAAACATTTAAATATATGCAATTTTAAGCAGAAAGAAAGCAATAAATGTTATTTTTCATTTAGTTTATAGAAAATATTGCTGTATTTTGGTTTTTGCATTAAAGTTTTGTTATTTTAGAGATCTAAAAAAAAAAAAAAAAA